CAAGTTTTGTTTTACCATAAATGGATGGACACAGCAAACTTAAATGTTCTCTTTCTTCCTTTTTTTGAAAGGTTAAAAGCAGTTGCTAAAAGATTAATGAGGAGAAGGCTCTGTCAGTTTAATTCACAGAGACTAATAACTAAATTATGCCCACCTCTTGAGACAGCCAAGGAAGTCTTTACTCTTTATCCGCTTTTTCCTTTGAGGTTTGCCACCCCCTCCACTCCTTGAAATCAAAAGATAAGCTGAATTGTAACATAAGAAGTTTGTACATTTCTGTTATGTAGAGCTATAAATTTGAATTGAAGAGTACTTTCTGGAAACGTTAAAGATAACTTTTAGAGAGATAATTGACAGTAATATAGCCATACATGTCAGGGAATAAAAAAAATTTAGCAAATTAAAAGCTAATCAGTGATCCTGATCACTTTGTAATAATAGCAATAATATAAACTGCCATTTAAAGCACTGATTGTTTTAAATTGTTTTCATTTGCTTTTGAAAAGAGAATATGCTATGTGGAACAAAGCTTTTTGCAAATACTATCTTATTAATTCATTAAAAATTTATTATATTCCCCATGTAATTCGGCAGTATGCTGATAATAGATATACAAAAAAGGGTACTTTTTAACCCCTCAATTAGATTATAAATTCTATCATAGTGACAAGTACAGTGTGCTTATGGTTATCTAAGATGTATTTGTGTAAATTAATCATATGCTTTAAAATATGTGATGTAAACATGATTCTACAGTTCTTTAGAATGGCAGCAATAATACAGAAGTACATAATGCAGCTTTTTAACAGATTATCATAGTCTGGGAGTACGCAAAAGCAAGTCATTATCAATCATTTGCTTCAATGTTGTTTTATCCTTTCTATAGTAGTTCCATCCCCAGATATGTTTTGTGCCAGAGTAAATGGTCTGTATCTGTGCTTTACAATACAGTACTCACTGTCCACATGCAGTTAGATGTGGTAGTGCGACTGAGATAATGAATCCGTATTTATCCTAAAAAAAGGAAATTCAAATAGCAGTGTGTGGCTAGTGGCTACTTTATTGGGCAGTGCAATTGCATAGTTTCATGAATTCCTAGCACAAGCTGGTGACAGTATCTTATGTACATGTATACCTGAATTTCATGTCGTTATTACTTGTTCTTATAACTTGTTATTCTTACTTGTTCATTCATGTAGTGATCTATTATCAGAATTCACTTACAAAGAGATAACTGTAATCAAGGCATTGCGTTTTCCTAAAAATAAATCGTAATTAATATTTTTCAAAGCTCTATTAGAAAGATGAACAGGCTCACATTTCTCTTTTCACTGTAACATAAGGATTGCATTCTAGTGAACAAATCATTGTCATTAATTTTTGTTTTCAATTTGATCATAAAGTTCAGTCACTTTATATGTGTTGAATGGGCACAAGGGACCATCCGGGCATTCAGGCTGCTGAGTGAAGCAGCAGCAGGTGGTAGAGATCAAACAGTGAGGGGGGATGTTCTAAGGACCTGCATGGCAATAAGTGGAACAGGTGGAATTTGTATGTAGCATTTAGGTCCTTGATGATTTGGAGGAGGCGCATCTGGTGAAGGGTAAGCTTCCAGAAGACAGACAAAGACACGATTGCTTCAATAACGGGCTAACGCAGATGCCAAGTGGGCCTCATCCTAGAAAATGCCCATTGTGAATTGCAACTGTAATCAGCATGAAAACACAATTAAAAGTGTTTTATTAATATAAGAATAAAGTGATGATCATAAAAACTAACAATCATTTAGCAATTGTTGTAGTATGTGTTTTATTAATCAGGCCAAAACTCTAATGATTAGATTTATTTCAGGTCTACATGCTATTTTTTTTCTTCTTTTCCCCCCTCTAGTTCTTTCTTTCTTTCTTTAAATCATTTTATTAGGGGCTAATACAACCCTTATCACAATACATACATACATTATTTGTGTAAAACACATTTGTACATTCATTGCCCTCATCATTCTGAAAACATTTGCTCTCCACCTAAGCCGCTGGCATGAGCACCTCATTTTTCCCCTCCCTCCCTCATGAACCCTTGATAATTTATGTTATTATTTTGTCATATCTTGCCCTATCTGATGTCTCCCTTCATCCACCCACTTTTCTGTTGTCTATCCCCCAGGGAGGAGGTTATATGTAGATCCTTGTAATTGGTTCCCCCTTTTCAACCCACCCTCCCTCCACCTTCCCAGTATCGCCACTTACACCACTGGTACTGGATCATCTGCCCCGGATTCCCTGTGTTTCCTGTTCCTATCTGTATCAGTGTATATCCTCTGGTCTAGCCAGATTTGTAAGGTAAAATTGGGATCGTGATAGTGGGGGAGGAGGAAGCATTTAGGAACTAGAGGAAATTTGTATGTTTCATCGTTGCTACATCGCGCCCTGACTGGCTTGTCTCCTCCCCGAGATCCTTCTGTAAGGGGATGTCCAGTGGCCTACAAATGGGGTTTTGGTCTCCACTTTGCACTCCCCCACTCATTCACTGTGATATGATTTTTTGTTTTGATGCCTGATACCTGATCCCTTTAACACCTCGAGATTGCACAGGCTGCTGTGCTTCTTCCATGTGGGCTTTGTTGCTTCTGAGCTAGATGGCTGCTTGTTTACCTTCAAGCCTTTAAGACTCCAGATGCTATTTCTTTTGATAGCCGGGCATCATCAGCCTTCTTCGCCACATTTGATTATGCACCCATTTGTCTTCAGTGATCGTATCAGGGAGGTGAGCACACCATAATATGATTTTTTGCTCTGTGATGCCTGATAACTGATCCCTTTGGCACCTCGTGATCACACAGGCTGGTGTGCTTCTTCCATGTGGGCTTTGTTGCTTCTCATCTAGATGGCTGCTTCTTTAACATCAATCTTTTACAACCCCAGATGCAATATCTTTTGATAGCCTGGCACCATCAGCTATCTTCACCACATTTACTTATTCACCCACTTTGTCTTCAGCGGTTGTGTCGCGAAGGTGAGCATCATAGAATGCCAATTTAATAGAAGAAAGTATTCTTGCATTGAGGGATTACTTGAGTGGAGGCCCAATGTCCATCTGCTACCTTAATTCCAAATCCTCATATATAAATATATTTGCATATGTACATGCCTTTATTTAGACCTCTATAAATGCCCCTTGCCTCCCAGCTCTTTCCTCTATTTCCTTTGACTTTCCTCTTGTCCCACTATCATGCTCAGTCTTCATTTGGGTTTCAGTAATTCCACTTGGTTACATTTCCCTGATCACGCCCTACCAGGCCTCCTACACCTTCCTCACTACCAATTTGGATCACTTGTTGCCCTGCCCCTGGGCTTTTTAACACCACCACCTTTCCCCCCAACTCCCCTTCTCCCATGTCCCCCTGGAACTGTCGGTCTAGTTGTTTTCTCCTCCAAACTGTTGATCAAACCCATCTTGTTTAGACAGACCTGCAGAGATAATAACATGCACAAAAACAAGACAGAGCAAAATCAAGCAACAATATACAACAAAACAACAAACCAATGACCAAAAAAAACACCCAACAACAACAGCAACAAGAATGAAAATCTTGTAGTTAGTTCAAGGACTGTTTGTTGGCCTTTAGGAATATTTTCCAGTCTCATCTGTTGGGGCACCACGCCCTGGCCCCACAGTCTACCTTCAGCATTCCCTAGGGACCTCATTGCTCCATTCCCTTGCTGTTCTGTTGCAACCCTTAGTGTTTTGCCTCAGTGTGGCAGGATCAGATCGGGCGTAATTCCAACACTGTGTCTCTGGTGTTGTTCGCTGTAGGGCTATGGTCAATGAGGGACGTCATGTCTCATACTGGGTCCAGCCATGTGGTCCTCTCTGTGGACTGCCTGCTCTAATCGGGAACATTGTCCTCAAGGCCTATTGGGCCAGGATGTGCTCCCCTCTCTCCTCCTCCCCCTTCATCTGCTCCCGATCAGATATGTCCCTCTCCTGGAGCTGAAGACTCAATGCCATCCTTTGAAATAAATTCTTCTGGGGGGAGGGGCAAGTGTCCATGTAGTAGTTGGGATTGGGGCCGGCCCCTCAGACCTCTCCACTGGTTCCCTACTCCACGCCGGCCTGTTGCATTCACATCTTGGAGCACTGGGTTGAAGTCTGGTCCTCCTTTCCCTGTAGAGATATAAACAATACCCTCCCCTTGGGTGGGTTAGTGCCCTGTGCCCCCGCTACCCATTTCTTTTTTATTATTATTTTTTCCTTTCCCCACCTCCTTTTTAGTTATTTACCATACTACATGCTATATTTAATACTGCTAATTACATTTAATAATACTGTATTTTTGTGCTTATAATTTTTTTTCATTTGAAGGTTGGACATCATTGTCTTTAAGGATGTCCTCATGCTGAAAACACACACACACACACACACACACACACACACGCACACGCACGCGCACTTTTTTGATAAGGAAAGTTGTCAGTAAAACGGTATCTTCACTTTAGTAAAATATTCCACTCAGTCTGACTAGCAAAAATAGTGGATTCTACTCAACTCCCTTTAGCCTGGAAGCACCTTGAAGTCCATCCTGTGTTTCACACTTCTCCTGACTCTCCCTTGGTCTCCTTGTTGTTAGGAGCTCTGCAAGTACAGCAGGTGGAAACACTTCTTGTTCCTGTACCAGCCTCACAATTGTTGGTACATTTGAGAACATTATGCAGCTCCTGTATCAATACATCTCAGCATCTTTTTTTGCTGACCTTCTGATTTACCAAGGATGATACCTCTTTCCAGGGAACAGTCTCTCCTGATAATATGTCCAAAAGACGTGAGGCAGAATCTTGCCAGCTGTGGTTCTAAGGAGCGTCCTGGCTATACAAGCCAGATTTGTTTGTTCTCCATAGACAGTAGTGCCTAAAGACACAGTAGTGTTTCATTAACAGGACTGGTGCCCCGACCGACCCTTTAATGATGCCTTGAAATTTCTATTTTATTTTTTTTCTATTTAGGGTGAGCCTATCACTTTCTGTGAGGAGAGTTTTGTGAAGGCCCGGTCAAGTCTGATGAAACATTTCTTGGAAACAGCGGTTAACCTTCAACTTTTTAAGCAGGTAAGAGTGGACCTTCAGATTTTTCTGCTGTAAGAAAAGACTGCCATTGTTAGACATTTTTATCACTCTCTAAAGCTGTGTCCCAAACTTGAGTAGCACCTTTTTAAGATTTTCAGGAAATTTTTCTTTCAATTGTAATTTTACAGCCATCTTTGAGCACTCCAGAGAAACAAAATCCTCCTCAAGAATTTCCAAGCTTATTATCTCACTGAGTAAAGAGAGGATATATTCAGAGGACAAAGAGCAATAATTGTATATAAGGCTTCTTACCAAGAGTTATTATGGTATAGTAGTTTGGCATTGTAAGGGAAAAAAACTACCCATGTTTTTATAGAACATTTCCATTATAATCCAATGTATAAAAAAGAATTCACTAAATGAATATGTAACTACTTTTTAAGCTTTGTAAAAATATAGTTATAAATTTATGATTCAGAAAAAACCATAATCACACTCAGAAAACCAAAAGGGTGGATACTTGGTATCAGAACACAGAGATTAAAAAATAAAAAGGAACACAGATTTCAGGTGCACTGATTCCTGCATCCCACTATAATATGATGAAGAAGTTTCTTAAACTAGGTTTATGTCAATTTCTGTATGTATAATGTAGATTATTTTGCTTTCCTTATTCCATATGACTTTATTTAATGCACAATCTAGCTATATGAATTCAAGTTTAAATGAAGGCCTATGGTGTGCTCTAAATTGTGCTCAGGTCCAAGATATAAACATGCATCAAAAAACAAAGCAATGCCACTGAATGATAATTTAAGAAGAAAAAAATTAGATGTTGCACTGTTAGGAGCAAAGACCATATAAATCCAAATTACTTCCAATTTAGGTCAATTAAAACAATATGATGATGGATTCAGTACTGCCATCTATAGTCTGAAGAAATTTTGAAAAATAGTCTGTGGTTATAAAATATTTTGTGGAATTGTAACTAAGTTCTCATATGTGAAGGCCTATCTGAAGAAAAAAGGATTAGATTCATTTTATTTTATGCATAACCCCAAGGAGCATCTGATGGGTCTCAGTATTAAACATCTTCGGAGTTCTCAAGCTGGGGTGGATTACCTTTCATGCTCCCTGTCTCCAGAGAGCCCCAGCCGTGCTGTTATTGTTGTTGCCAAGGGCTATGATGGTGAATTTGACTTAAAGTGACCCCCTGTGACAGTGTAGAACTGCCCATCAGGTTTCCTAGGTGTAACCTGTACAGAAGCAGATCACCATGTTTCCATTTCCCCTTCTCCCACCCCCCTCCCTCACCCCACCCCACATATAGCTGCTAGGTGGGTTTGAACATCAACATTTTGTTTAGCAGCTGAGAACCTAACCATTGTGCTGGCACATTAAGGATACAATCATTGGTCCACAACAGCACCTCTCCTTAGCTGGCAGCCAAGTCTCTCTCTCATCTTCATTCTCTCTCTCTTTTTTTTTTTCAATTAATAGTCTCCTTTATTGCACCGGTAACTAAAATCAGACTGCGAAAATGTTTATGTCAACCTAATTACAATGGGAGTAAGTGGATATTTTTCTGTATCATTTCCTTTTGTCATTATATTCAATAGCAAGTTAATGAAATATAACATTAAACTTCTGAAACTGCTAGTGTATAGTTTGTTCTTGATGTATGTAGGTATACAGTCAAGAGGGCTCTCAGAACACCTCTCCCACTAACCCTGCACATGTTCACCTGTGTGCTGCATGCAGTCACAACCACACACTTCTCTTGGAATTCTGGAGGAAAAAATTATCTTGAATAGCCCTACTCTATGATTTGGTAGCAATGATTGCCTTTTCATTTTTTTTTAACTTTGGACATTCTTCTTATTCTTCTTTTTTTTAATTGTTTTATTAGGGGCTCATACGACTCATCACAATCCATACATACATCAATTGTATAATGCACATTTGTACATTCATTGCCCTCGTCATTCTCAAAACATTTGCTCTCCACTTAAGCCCCTGGCATCAGGTCCTCATTTTTCCCCCTCCCTCCTCACTCCCCCCTCCCTTATGAGCCCTTGTTAGTTTATAAATTGTTTATTTTGTCATATCCTGCCCTGCCCGACGTCTCCCTTTACCCACTTTTCTGTTGTCCGTCCCCCAGGGAGGAGGTCACATATAGATCCTTGTAATCGGTTCCGTCTTTCCAACCCACTCTCCCTCTACCCTCCCAGTATTGCCACTCACAACACTGGTCCTGAAGGGATCATCCGCCATGGGTTCCCAGTGTTTCCAGTTCCTATCTGTACCAGTGTACATCCTCTGTATATATAGAGTGCATTAATTTCCAGGATTGTTATACAAATTGTTATGGCAGTGCTTTATAAATATAAAATATTATTGTCGCAAGCAAGTCATTCAGTGCCTACTCTGGAGTTGAATATTGGTAACTCTTCTTGTATTTCCATCAAGAGGGGATCGTACTATCTCATGTTGTTAAATGAGTTGTGAAGATCAAGTTCGGTGGGGCTCATGGGCTGAATGAATGGGTAGAGCATATACAGTAGGACTACTTCCATATATGATTCTATAACCAGATTCTTAGTGTTGCATAAAGTTAATAAAGCATACTTTTTTGCATACTTAGAAAAAATATAGTTTTTTTTGGAGTCAGATAGAGTTGGGTGAAATGTTTTACTGCTTAGCCATTTTCCCTAGACATCTGTTTCTTTTTCTATATTTTGGAAATACCACACCTACCGCACAAGGTTGTATAATGTTTATGGGAATCAGTACATGTACATTCAACGCAGTTCAGTATTATGTAAATGGCTTGAGGGTCCATATCTGACCTCCTATGGCTTCCGTGAGGCAGGGTTAGGCATTCCTCTATCCTCCATCATTATTCCTACACCAGTCTTTGCTTCTATAACACTGTACTTTGCGACTGGGTTTGTAATTCTTTGCACAGAACAAGTGGCTATACAGAACTCACGGACAAAACGCACAATTATGAGGTTTATTTGGGAAGTTAACAGGTTCCCACAAACCAGGATTAGAAAACACTAAGGCGGTAGTCATTGGTCCACAGCAACACCTCTCCTCAGCTAGTGGCCAAGTTTATTTTATCTCCTCACCCTCTTAGCCAGATAGTCCTCTGGCCTTGCCTTCCATGGGCCACAAAGCCAGCTCACTGCTCTATCTTCATCTCATGGTCTAGTTGCTGTTCCTCTGTTCTATCTCATAGTCTCCTTGCTTCAGTGTCTGGTGTCTCTGGCCTTCGACTCCTTTCCTTCAGACAGTGATCTCGAATGGGCTCCACTAGGGACTCTTCTGTCAATGGGCCTGGCATCTCTCTCTCTGCTTCTGCTTCAAAGATGACTCATCCTTATTGCTAGGTAGTCAGTAACTAAAACCAACCAATCCTCTCTGTTAGTGTTACACACTCCCTTACCCTGTTAGCATAGCACCACCCAATCATTGGTAGAATAACAGAGACACTTTCAGAACTTACTCCACCATGCGTACAATTTTGTGTCTGCTCCATTTCTGAGAAATTACATTAGCATAAATATAAATCCATGTAGGATTCTTAAAAGTACAACTTAGTAAAAAATTAAATATAAAATATTAAAATGTTTACTCAGACTAGAACTCATTATATGGACAACTTGAATACTTTTACATGTACACATTTATCATAATCTGGAACTTGTTGACAGTTTGTGTCTATTAGGAAAGTGATACTGAAGATAGCCCTGGCAGACTGTGATTCTTGCTAGCAGAGTTTCACAAATTTGTAAAAGAGAGACAGTTATTTATAAATATTAGCAACAAAGGTCACTTGTGAAAGCTAATACTAACCTGGCTCTGAGTTTGAAAATGTTTGTAATGTACAAATGATTACTAATTATGACAGTGAATTTGCATTCCAGTATGGATGAAGAACTACTCCAAGTCTATTTACATAGAAATGCTTGTGCTTCAAATTGAGAGGACTTGGACCCAGGATTGCCTAAAGTATTAAGAATTATAAAAAGAATGTTCATCTCTGATAACATGATGGGACAGGATCCAGAGGAAACCTGCATACTGAAACAATTAAAAATAAAGGATTAAAAAAATCTCATCATGCAAGGGCACAGAAGACAAAACCTAGTAGTCATTTTCCAAAATGACAGTGCAATAGGAAATTCTCTTAACGAACATGCACTAACGTAGGGCATCGTAGTGTGAAAGTAACAGATAAAAAGTAAAAGGTTTTCTTCCTTTCAACCCATTCCTGGGACTCTACTAGAAAATGAATGCATTCACAGCATTAGCGCTAAGTGAAAGAAAGGCACCGAGACATAAACATGTGCCAGCCTGCATAAAAATTTGATACCTGAAGTAACAATTTCTGATTTGGTATGACAAAACTCAAACCAAGTTTAAAGTGCCTTTAAACTGTTAGTTCCACAAGGTCTCTAAGCAAATACAGATTCTTTCTTGAATCCACCTTCATCTAAACATCAAAAATACTCCCAGTCAAAATTCCAAAGGGAAATGTCACTGTTTAAAATCATTAACATACAAGAAAGCCAATCACACATGAATACTGACAGACACTGATGTGCAAAGACTTGAAATATTGAATTATCAGAAACAAAGCATAAAATTACTATGTTTATGATGTGAAACACAAGACAAGCTTTAGAAGTATTTAGGGAATAAACACTTAAAAGAATGTCAGGCCAATTTGAAGATATATGCACTTGTTTTTAGAAAGCATGTGATGTGTTAGGCTGGGTTGACCAGAGAAACAAATCCAGGGACCTGAATACATCCCAACTGCTTTTGAGAACATCTCAAGAACACTTTTGCTGCATTGAACACTAAGGACAGAATACCCGATGAGCTGTATTAAGACATCAAGAATATTCAACATAATGAAACCAAAGGTCATTAAAAAAACAGGAAAGAAAGAAAAGATTAAAATGGATGTTCGAAGATATTCCGATATTTGGTCTTAATCATAGAGTAGCTGAGAATAGAAGAAATGATGA